TATTTGCTATGCGGGAAAATTATTGCTTAATCTGCTGCCTACGAAGTACATCTGCTAGCTGTGCCCGACGGGTTATTTATATCTTGTCCTTTCTGAAGACAGGTTGTTCAAAGTTATAAATTACGATTTTAGAAGTTGTTTTTCTTTTGAGGAGCATTACGGGAATCACCACTGCACCCGCATTGTGCAATTAAGCCAAATCAATTACGAATGATGTATCAGACATCAAACATTTTCGCAGTTCGTCACATCTAGGCGCTGATTTGTATTTTCGTTGACATCGCAAAATAAATTTCTATAAAATCTAAATGACCGGAATCAAAAAATAATGTAATAACATTTTCGCTTTTATAAATATTCCTGTTTTCGGCAAAATTTTCTCGCCTGTTAGCTCACCAACCAGATATTTTGTTTTCTAGCTTTGAATACTTCTCAAGTAAGTGTATTTGAGACAAGAAACAAGAAAGTCCGAGAGAACGCCATCTAATCTTGGGAGATTCTGAAGCTAGATATTTTTTGCAAAATATAAAACTCTCCTGTCTACAATCTACATATATATACATGAGAACTTTACAACGCTGGCTAGTTGGTGACGTTCATTTGCATTGTGTTGTCGTTCCATAGACCTCCCATCAAGCTAACAACTTCCTTGAAATACCTCAGAAAGCTTTTCAGTGGACACGCCCCATTAAAGCACAATGAGCATAAAAAGAAATAAACATGCTTCCATAATAAAAGTTCCCAGCAAAAATTGAAATTTTTATCAAGATCCTAGTAAGTGCAAAACGACAATAACTTCTAATTAGCTGTGACTTTCCTGGCGCAGCGATAATATTTTCCAATTTTCAACAAAGCAAATTAACAGGAAAGCACACCAAATGCAATTTCGAGAAAGTTAACCCGTGCACCCAGGGACTCTTAATCAGAAAGCCTGGTTTATTAAAAATTATGCTAATAAACGTACTGTTTCTAATTACAAGCCCGCGGAGCTGCTCAAAAGTTGGCTTTGTTGTACACCTACTTTTTCTAATAACGCTAATTACTAAGTATCTTCTCTCTTCCTCAATTCAGGCATGGAAGCGGAAACAGGGAGGATGTTCTTGAATTTCAAGAATATATCGCATGCCAAACTGGAATTTCTTTTTGTGATTCTTGTCGTCGTTTGTCACTTTTGTATTTTATTTGATTTTAAGACGGGTGTAGGGAAAAAGTATTCAATAACCAAGAGAAAAGCATTTTCAAGTAAACTGCTACAGTGAAAAAAATCTCAAACGTGTTATTCGTTGTTCCATGTTCCTAGATCCGCGAGATTTTGTCAAGTGAAAAATGTCGATTGAAGAAGGCACTTTATGAGATTCGTGTGACACTATAGCTATTTCGCATGCCACATTGATCATTATACACTCGAGAACACTCCTCCAGGCAAACAGCGACAAAACCTTTGAGGGGAAACTTCGAACACTAAACATAAGAAAGCTTAGACCACATACTCACTAGGTAGCAATAGTTGTAATAATGGCTCTTTTGTTGACTCAACACTAAGGCCTGCAGGAATCAAAATTTTCTGTTCATTTCTTCTAAAATATCCCTCAAACTACAGAAAAATTATACGTTTGTATAAAAACTGCCTCGATCCCCATATTGAATTAATTTAATTTTTAAAATTAAAAATTTCAATCTTCCACTGTGCGTGTGAAAAGGACACACTGGATATAATCAGGGATCTGAAACCTGGTAACTCTGTTGGTGAGGATGGTATTAGAACAAGCGCTGTGAAAAACTATGCCCTCCCAATTCCTGGAGTAGTTTCTTACTAGGTGAACAGTTCTTTGGATGAGGGTAAGATTTCCAGTTGTTTGGAAATGCAAAAATAATTTCCGTCTTCAAAAAGGAGCCTCTAGTCCTGTAGAAAACTTCAGACCAATATCCCTACTGAGTCCGTTTGCAAAAATAGTTGAGAAGTACACAGCAATCTGTGTAGTGAAACTCTTCAATAAAAACCTACCGTTTAATGAAGGACAGTGTGGTTTCTGCAAGGATTCGTCAACTTCTACAGCAATGATACAGTTCTTGAACCATTTCTATAGCACCACTGATATGGGCAAAAAGAGCATTGGGATATTCATTGATCTGAGCAAAGCTTTCGGCCTTGTAAATCATGGGATGTTGTTGATAAGACTTGAATGCTATCGAATACGGGGACTTCCGTTTGAGTGGTTTCGTGACTATTTGTCCAACAGATAACAGTGTGCTGAAAGTGGAAATCACAGTTCTGAAATGCGTAAGAGTGAACTGGGGCAAAAATTGCGTCTGTAGTCGATTTTCCTTTTCTAAATCCATATTGGCCAGAACATATATACGTAATTTTGTTTTGCCCAAAAATTGTTATATCATTTTGTGTAATGATTTTTCAAAAATGGGATATTTAAAAGCCTCAAAACATTTTCAAGTATCTAGGACAACTTCATTCCGTCTCTCCAGAAGAGGAATAACCTCACATAATATGGTTATGTTTATTTATGTTTGCTGTTGTTTATTACTTCGAAGTAACTTTGCACCGCTTTCAGTCCAGTAAGAATTATTAAAGTCAGTCAAAACAAGCATTTTATCATCAAACATGAATTACTTCCTGAATTCATCAAGGTATAGATTCTTGAATGCATATCTCTGACTATTATTGGAACGTTCTGGAATACGTACTGAATAAAGTTATGAATTAAATTTTAATAATCACTTATTTTAGACATCATTAAAATTTGAAGAGTGTTTCGTGCAGTTCAATGCATTTTTCGTATGCTTATTATTGGAAAGTTCCGAAATACGTACATACTGCCTAAAGTTATACATTAAATTTTAATTATGACTGATTTGGAACATGATTAAAAATCAATATACAAAGTGTGATGCAATATCAATTGAAACCCAACAAGGCATCGCTGGCGTTTTTGATGTTTTAGATCAATAGGCATACAGTTGAAATACGATAATGATAATGCCCACGGGTATTCATATGTTATAATGTGGTGACTCAGTTTAATACAGACCAGCACTATATGACAATGGATAAATGTTTGTTCGCATAACTCTGAAAATATGTTGTTGTATAAAATGCCTATAAAGGGCTCCGAATTATGATTGATGAAATAGATGTCATAACAACCGTTTTAAATTCTGACGCTATAATACAAAAAGAACTACAAGTAAATTCATAATACAGTAGGTATACATCGCTTTACTGACTGCAGAAGCTGGTTCAATAATGTGTTGAGGATCCACTATTTCTTATACACTCATTGACACGCCCGGGTATCGTGCTGATAAGGTGGTCGATATCCTGTTCTGGTACCTCATTCCAGGCTACTGCAACTTCGTGAGTAAGAGCTGCTAAAGTCTGTGGAGGGTGTTACAAATTCAGAAGCCTGCTACCGATCATGTCCCAGACATGTTCAATTGGTGATAGATCGGGCGATCGTGGTGGCCGAGGCAAACGGTTGATCCATGAAGGCTAACGATGCTCTGGCAACATGTGGTCTGCCACTGTCTTGCTGAAAAGTCGGGTTTTGGATGGTGTTTAGGTATAGAACAAGATGAGGCTCCACTACTTCCTGAATATTGCGTCGGGCTGTCATATTGCCTCTGATGAAAATTAGTGGTGCTCTGCTACCATAAGCAATAGCACCCCATACCATAACTCCCACGGTGTGGTGAACGTGACGCTGTCTGTCAAATTGTGGGTCACGTCTTTCACCACGTCGCCGTCTCACTCTTGCTCGACCATCGTGCATGCCCAGGCAGGGATTCGTCGCTAACGACCACCTGATTTCATTCCCGGTCCCATAGAAATCTTTCTCTACACCAGAGCAAATGGTTATGCTGAGATTCAGCTGTGAGAGGCAGCACCCAATGTGGGCGAAAAGAAAAAAGGCCAAACTTTCGTATTCGGCGATATACCATACGCATACCGTGCTCTTCAAACCACTGATTAGCAATGGCTCGAGTACGACTGAATCTGTCTCTCAGAGCCAGAAGTCCGTCTGAGACGTCCAGAACCCCTCGCTCGCTGTCCTCGGCCTTCCTGAGTCCACGCTTGTTCACACTGCAGTATACTGCGTAAGGATCTGTTGGTCCTCCTAGAAACTTCTCTTATCGATAGACCTTTTTTTGTCACTCAGTATATTTGTAAAACTCCCTTTGTAGTTTATCCGGTCTTTCCTTGTGACACTGATGGTATGGGTACTGGACATTCGAACAGTACTCCAGCTTAGAATGTACATAAGAAAAAATAAACATTTCAATTCTACTTCACTATTAAATGCTCTACAACTTGTATGAATCCATACATTTTGTGTGCTCCAGCAATCTTGTTATCAATATGTTCAATGAAACTGATTTGCGAGTCGAATAAGGTCCTTAATGGTTAAATGATATTCCAGAAAAATACCACATAATGTGGTAATCAAATAAGATTGGTGATTTTTTCCTAGAGTAAATGACTACTTGTACTAATAGCTCCAAGTCAGAATGTGGTGGGATCGCTTAACACGTTGACTGCGGGACTAATAATCCGTACTTTGGCATTGACAGCGGTACATATCGCCGAGGCATAGTAATAGAGTCTTTACTGCTGTGCGTTACATATCCCCGGAGATATTTCACCATTTTGATGTAGAAATATTTTATAGGATAGATGAATTCATCTTGGAGTCACGTCGTACATATCTCCGGGGACTAGAACCGCATGCTGATGAGTACAATTTTTCAACAATAAAAGTCAAGTTTCATTAAAATTTTTATTGAAAATAAAACATTGTTCTAAACAAAATTATAAAGAAAAATATTTGACTTGTGTTTGGTATATTGAAACTTTTTTCCTGAGTATGATAAGAAAGAAAATAATGAACTAGATATTTTAGTTGTGTGTTTCATTGAAGCATCGAAGGCAATATCCCGGCTTCTTTGGGTATTCTTGACAATAGCTTATTATACGTCGGACTTTTTTGTCAGCCTCGCGACTCGTCATAGTTATTCGCAATGTTTTGTAACATCCAGTACATGGTCTTCTCTTCTTTCTTCCTTGGACCTTCAGGTTTCACGAAAGTGTGTTGCCTCTTTCTCGATGGAACTGGCTGCTTTGGGACTTCCGCTTGTTCTATTACTAGATCTTTAGCTTGTTGTGTTCTAAATTCCATAATGCTCAGCTTTGTATCAAAAACAATGTTATAAACAATCCACGAATTCACCACAGTCGTGCCCAGTAGTAATTCAAACTTTGCTGCAAATAAAATAGAAATACTTATACATTAAATGTTATATGTTATTTATATATGAAAGGACTTACCGATACCATTTTAGTGTTTTACGTACAACAGTATGATAAGAGGACATTTGGTCACTGAAGTCGACACCGTTTTTCGCCAAATTATAATTAATTACACACTGTGGTTTCAATATATCTTCCTCTTTACGATTTTTTTTCCTATAAAAATTATCTTTTGTGAATCTTTATTTTGAAAATAATTGTATTGTCCTTACCTGTAGGTACTAGTGTAGCATTATGAGCAGGATGTGTCGTGATCATAAAAACAGGTCTTTTGTCTACCCATTTAATAATTTTTATCTTGCTTTTCTCTTTGCCAATAACTACACCCTTCTTATTTTTCTTTGTGAATTCTTTGGGAACTCCTTTTCGGTTTGGTCTTAGTGTGCGACAAGACAGACATTTTTCATCAAGTAATGTTTTAACTAACGGTATTCCGGAATAAAAATTATGAGCATATAATATTCGTCCTTTTTTTGGATTCACATGTTCCAGCAATTTCAATACAATAGATTGTGCATGTCCCAGCTCAGGTTGTGTGTCGCCTTTACCAGTGTAAACCTTTAGGTTATAAGTGTACACAGAACTTGTACATAGCTTATACAGTTTGACCCCATATCTATGTGTTTTATTCGGTATATACTGCCGGAAACTCAACCGTCCTCTAAACGGAACCATGGATTCGTCTATGACAAGGACTCGTCCTGGACTCAAAATTTGTTATTAAGTTTTTAACAGGAGTGAAATAAGAGGAGCTATTTTGTTCAGTCTATTTGTATATAGTATCGGCGGATTCGTTGTCAGAAAAATGGAGAAACCTTAGTAGCCAGAGAAACCTGTATCTTGTGAAAATCGATGAAACAAATTCATTGTGAAATAAGGGCTCTTTCGACCAATATACTCGTAAATTTATAGCAAGTACCTGTGTTAAGCCCATTTCACTATTGAAAAAATTTACGCATCTCGTTCTTACTCGTGTTAGTCCAGGATTTAATTCTAGATTTACCTGAGTGACTTTTGGTTACTTGTTGACTTCTATAACGATTTGTTTCCAGTACTAGCACGTCAATGATTTCGTCTGATATGAATCGCTCAAAATGTCAATGGGCCTTTTAATTGTTTGTTGGTTAATATCTGGGTCAAGTGTGCATTGTTCATTGTAAAGATCAAAATTTATAGATGAAGTTTTTATATCTTCCCATACATCCCTCAGATCACTGTCACTATCATTATCTTGTTCGTTATTGAGATAGTCTGCCCTGCTTGAAGGCCTACTTGGAACATCGTTCATTTTCATCACTACTTTCACCACTACCCTCATTATTTGAATCACATTGATAAGTTTTGTCTTTCACAGAGTCATCACCATCAAAGTCTTCCCATTCTAAGTCAGAATCACTACCGCCATCATTCATTTGTTTCACAGTACGCGTAGCACCTGAAGGACCAGGAGAACTATAATCATTTTGAGCGGAAAAGTCATTATTAGTTAAAAACGTAGAGTCCCGGGAACTCTCTAATTCCAAAGCATTACCTTCTTTAAATTTTCGTGCCGCTAATTCAAGCAGTTTTTCTGAGCGCGACATCATTGTCGGTGGCTTACGGTCAACTAAATATGCTTATTTACGAAATACACGTTCAAGAAGTATGCAAGTTTAAACTCGTTAATACAGGACCGCGGGTGTATGTTTCGCACAGAAGTTAATCTCCTATTAATTGTGTGCGAAACATATCCCCCGGGATATCTAAGAAAATTTACGCTTTATATGAAACTAGGTATCACAAGGATCAGAAAGCTATCTATAACATTGAAATCATTAAAAAAGTAACGTTTTCGAGACTAACGCGCTTGCATCGTATTTTGATTTAAGTCACTCCCGTCTCCCAGGAAAAATTCTCAGATATCGCCGGGGGCGTGTAACGCAGTCAACGTGTTAAAAAGAAACGAAAAGCAAAACCTCAATCATTTTTATCTTCAGATGCAGAGCAAGATTTTTCACTCATCTCTTTTTTGCAGTGACGGGCTATCACATGCAGCCAGGCGTCTTCCCGAGTCTCGCCAGATCGACCTCCTGCAGAACCTGACTGACCTGCTAAGGAAGACATTCAGCTCTCAGTTCGTGTTTCCTGCTCTAGGACATGATGACCCCATCCTTCGGTCAGAATTGGGAAGAATGTGGTCGAGGTGGCTACCAACTGACTCCATGAAGACCTTCGAAACTGGTAAGCATGCCTATAGCTTTCTTATAGATGATATTACTATCAACATTGTACAAATGGACTCATACTGAGCGAAATTGGCAACACTGTGCCAATTGCGCATCAGTCTGTGAAATAAGGTGGTAGGCCAATCAATAGGGAGATTTTGTGACCTTGACGACAGACATTTTTTTGTTGGTGGCACTTTGATCGAAAATCTCGGAAACCATCCAACATATGCAACAAACAGATAGAAACGACTTTGTAGGGAATCAGAAAAACTTTTTATCATTTTGCTTCTATAAAAAATGAAGTGTAGTCAACGGATTATGAGAAATTGAAGGGTATATTTTCCTGTTGTATGCTAACGATTTGTTTGGCTTCATATCTGAAGGTAGTAATATCTTGACTACCAGTCCAAACATCACTGAGCTGCCTGCAATGACTGAGAGGGCATACAACAGAATCATTAAATGGTCTGAACAGAACTTGTTCCGAATAGACACAGAGAACACCAGCATTGTGAAATTCGTAATAAAATTAAAAAGAAAAAGATATCAAGCTCTCTGATAATGCTAACACAACTATTCCATCATCTAATTCAATTAACATGCTGGGGATGATTTTTGATTGTCGAGTGTCGACTGGGGGTTCCACGTTGATTCTTTGTGCACTAGATTGAGAAGGAGCTGTTATGGCTTGAAATTCTTAGCAAATCAGTGCAGTAAACGAATTTTAATCATTTTATGCTATGCCACCGTCAACTGCTATATCCGTTTTGATATTCTTAATTGGGAAAGTGGGAGAACTGAAAGAGTTCTCCTACTGCAAAGATATGCTAAAAGAATTATTGATAACCTTTGTTGGCGTCAATCCTGCAGGAAATGTTTTAGAAAGCCAAAGGTGATGACCGCTATAAGTATTTACATTCATGTGTTTGTTTACAAGAATAAGCGCGAATATGAAGTCATCAGACACCATAATGAAAATCCGACTAGGTCTAAGATGCTCTTAATTCCGCCGAGACATCGAACTACGGCATACCAAATAACATGTACATATATGGGATGTAAGGTTTCTAATGACATTAAGAATGTGTCAAATATAGCCTGTTTAAAAAAAAACTAAAACATTTTTTCTACACTTTGGAGGAGTTTTTTGTTTAGATTTATGGTTTATCATTTTTGATCCATCACCACAGTTTTTGAAATTACATTTTCATTTGTGATAGAACTTTCTCTTCCATTCAAGAATAAAGTAAATTATTATTATAGTTATTATTATTTTATATATGTAATGATATTTCCGCTTATTATGTCTAAACAAATAATTATTATCAGTGAATCGATACACATACGCAAAGAAAAAAAACAAGGTTCATTTGAAGGAAATATACATAGATTGATCTTATGTGATTATGGGCTGGTAAGTACCTTTTTTGTAATGCTCAGTGAGCCCGATCTCAGCCAATGTACGATATTACTAAAGTCTTTCTCACGTGTTACATTTCTTACAAGTCTTCCAAATTTGTTGCTTCATAAATGATAATAAGCGTAAAGTACAACAATATGTACTGTAGAGAATACAATTTAACACAGGAAAGGTTAATCATGTTTTTTCAACTCCTTAGTGGTTCTCGGAGTATACGGAGGCAAAGATGAAAATTCGTATTAAAACCTACGCTGTCATTCTTTTACGTAGAGATAACTCCATAATAATCATCTGTGATTGAAAATACCCTTTCAAGGTGAATCCATTTTCCTCAGTGCCACGTACGTAGAGCGCGGGGCAAGCCGCGTGACAGTTCTCATACGAATATTTAACTTTCGATTCTTATACTTGAGGATCCATCAATTTTTTGTAAGAAGTTTTATTCCCTACAAAATAGAAACTAGAACTAAAAAGTATTATAACATGTAAATTTACTTTTATATTCATTGTTAACTTGACTATTTTCTGTCTCTAAATTTGTAGAAAAAACTACTTATTTGCTAAGAAGAATGCTGGCCGCCCAGTGAAATGACATTCATTCTGAATTGACTGTCTACTTTCAAAGTACAGTTAGATATGGGCTCTAGCTAGGCACTACAACGCAGATTACGATGAGTTTCAAATCAGGCGAATAATTGAGTGTTCGAACCGCTCTATCTGAGACAAGCTAACAGCTGGAATATCATGACAAATAAACACCATTCATAAAATAGGAAAGTTGAGAAGCGCCATCCATCTACTCCCTAAAAGCGGTCTCACATTTCCGGGGAATTTTTCTTCATAAACAACTTTTTCGATACAATAGTTTCTTGTATACTCTCCGAGATACATTTACGCTACAGAAAAAGGAAAAAGTGCGTTTATTTGTCTGAAACTTTTTCACGCCAAATTTCACTCGATAGCTGTATTTCTTCCATGACAGTCTCCAGCACAAAGGCGTAACTTTATATGATACAAATGGCGCGATTTCTTTGACAAATAATATAGTGTACATTTGTAATATGGAGCAATCCTTCAGGAGATGCAAGACTGAATGAAGGAGTTTCGCTCACTTATTGGGCCTCCTCTCGGTAATGGTGATTGTCACGTGCAAAAATCACGTAACCTTTTTCTTACTATTTTACTAGTAATTCTCTTTATTAATGGTACAGTGTCCATTCCTAGACCAAACCCTTCTCAACGATTTTCTTTTGGTAAATTTCATAGCTTATTGATTGTATAATTTAACACGTATTTCCTTCTCAGTGTTGGAAAAAAACTCTGTGGTTTTACTCCGTTACTTGGTTTTCTATGGAACATATCTTCTTCTAGGCCGCTCATTGAACCTTCCCTTATAAAGTGGGGTGTTTCGTGTCAGTCGCTTTCCTCCTGAGATTGTGGATTTATTCAACCTCCAGATTCTGGGATATTAGGTGCCAAACACCAGTTTGTGGAGTAGTACCCCTTCTTATAGTACCTTACGTTTAGTTATTTTCGTTTGGGTACTACCCCGTCCATTTTTTTATGGGATTCTAATCTTTAGCGGTAAGTCTTTTTTTTTCTTATACCATCGGACCAAGTACATTAATGCATGTCCTGAAGAAGATATATTCGATAGAAAAACCACGCAGTTCTTTTTCCAACACAATACTGAATCACTAAGAAAGAAATATATATGAAATTATACACTCAATAAACTAGCAAATTTACCAAAAGAAGATCATTGAAAAGGGTTTGGCCTAGGAATGGGCACTCTACCATTAATAAAGGGAAATTCAAATTAGTAGTAAATGATCAAAATATTGAAAAAAGGTTAAGTGATTTTGGCACGTGATATGATGTTATTTTCGATAGCTGCTCATGTATCAGATCAAAGAGATTGCAAACAAATGAATTGTTCTAACAAGCATATCTGTTCTTGGTTTGCATAACCGATAATTAAATCAGATGGACTAAGGTGGGGGGGCCATGGAAAGCACGGAAAGCTACGCACACAAGCATCAGTTATT